CACACAGAGAGAGAGGGAGGGAGAGAGAGAGAGAGAGAGAGAGAGAGAGAGAGAGAGAGAGAGAAAGAAAGAGAGAAAGAGAGAGAGCGTGTTCTTTATGCTTGCCAAGTTACTAGGTCTAAGATTATTGCAGTTGTTTTGAATCCATGAAAGCGGAAAATGGGTTTGTACATGTGTGTGTACATGTCACAGAATAAGGGAAAAACAAAACTAAACAAAGACCAAAACTATGTGTTATAGCTTTTTTAAAAGTTGGTTTGATAGTACACGAGGTTCTAAGGAGCATTTTTGCAGGCGAACATGTCGCTGCTGGTTTCGATAATTGCATTTGCTTTGAATCTAAGAAAGTGGAAATCTCGGTGCGCAGATGTTACAGAATAAGAAAAAAAAGAAAGGTGGTAATATTTATATTGGTGCTTGCATACGTTTGTGATCTAGCAAGACACAAATGCACCCCCCGGCGCTGCTCAGTGGCGACGAGGTTCTTACATTGTCAGATCACACAGCAGCAGATATGTACCTTTAAAAACAAAGAAAGAAAGATATAAAAAGAACATTTTTTTTATCATCTAGCATAAGGCTATTGTCAGAATAAGCATTAATATGTACTGCCCTTTCACCGTGTATGTATATCTCTAAAGGTCTTGTAATTAAATTCTTGCTTGTGGTTGAATGATGCATCTGATGTGATATGTACATTTTGTCAGCGTTACTTTTTTTTCACATTGAATTTTAATGAGAGTAATATATCATTTAAATTTTTATGTATACCTACATGTGTTTTTACAGTCTCTTATCTTAGAAATGGTCGTCCTCTCACTATTGGTTTTTGTGCATTTGTAGAGGAGTGACGGACCAAATTTTAGTTTCAAGAAACACTGCTTTTAAAATATATGTTGGTGTTTTTACGCCCTCATCGACGCAGTTTAAAAAAACAACTTAGGAGGCAGGCTCTGACCCTGTCTGTCAGAGCCAATTCGGGCTGAGAGGGATACAGCAATCCACTAGAAGGGCTGAGATACTCCATAAAAGTTCTCCCTACTCGGAAATCGAACTCGGGTCGCCTACGTGCACTGGCGAAGCGGCTCGCTGCTACGCCACAGACGCTGGTACAAAAAGTACTTGGGGCACCTTGTCTCTTTTCCCACTTCTGTGACATGTACGTGCTGCTCGCGAACTGACGTGAACTAAAGCATGTAATGAAGGTGATGTGAACAGCCGCCTGACCGACGTGTAAGTGTGAA